ATATATATATATATATGAATGACACATTCCATGTGTCAGAAACACATACATTGCTTAGAATTTTTTTAATGAAAACATATAATATATATTTGTGGAGGGTTGAAGATTAAAAAAATAGGTATTATATTGCGTCCAAAATATTGGGGATGTAATCATTTCAAGACTTACATTCTCTTTTCTTCACATTTGTAGCTAAAATTATGAATCATACAAAATTTTATGAATTTTAAAAAATTTTTCAGATTTAAACGTTAATTTTATAATTATACTTTTTAAACATTAACTTTTTTACGACCGTTAACAAATAATTGAGCAATAACATATTGAAAAATTAAATGTAAAAGAAAGTACCTTAAAATATTTTTGTTCTATAGTGGTTAGGCTAAAATTTCAATTTTGTTTTGCAAAAAATATTTTCTGTTCCTGCACTTTTCTGGAACTCTCTTTCTCACTTTAAACAAATATCAAACGTATATCTATCTCACTTTAAGTTCCAAAAGTGTACACCAGCCACAGAAAATAGATTGTTTATGAGTGAATTCTATCGCGATCCCAAAATTTCTTTAAGGTTCCATATTTTGCATATATATTAGAACAGTTTTTAAAATTGTTTCAGATTTTTAAAAGTAGATATAATTTTTCATTTAATTATTTAAAACTAAAAAATTGATTTTTTGTATTATTATTTTTTTTACTAAAATTATCGTGATTACGTAAAATAATAAAAAATTCTAAAAAATTTATGTTTAATTATTATAAAAATATATTTTGTAATTTTTATAAATGTAAAAAAAAAAAGAAAAATTTGTTAAACCCAAGCAGAACAGCAAGTAGTGATAACGTCAAAATGAATCGAAAATGATTGAAAAATAACTTTTAATGATCATTTTGGAATCATTTTGACATCGTAATGACTTGTTGTTCTGCTTGGAAAATGATTATCTCCAATATCTTAGATACAAGGCATATTTATTTTTTTTTACTTTTCATCATGATCATTTAAAAAATCCCAAGTAATACTTTTTACTTTTAGGTGAATTGACACGTGGAATACGCCATATATACATACATATATATTTTATTAAAATAAAATTCATAAATCGAATCTTAAAAAATTTGGGAATATATTTGAAAATTACGAAGCATTGTTATGTAAAAACGAAACTTTGCACTTTCACTACAAAGAAAAACAATCGTGCGTCACGCGAGAAATCGAAATCGGAGAGCGCGCGCTTTTTGGAGGGAGCGAGTTGTCACAGGTAAGCATCATCATTCGATGATACTTCCACGCGCGTCACATGTCACGCGAAGTGCGTTACCTGTCAGATTGCAGCGTGCCTGAAAATCCTGATCGGATGTATCTCGACGAGACGAACAAAAGTCATCCGCGTATCACTCGAGTGATAACGAGACTACATCCACTGTACGCGCGCGCACACACACATACGCACGCGCGAGCGCGTGTTTCTCGAACGTATCACGTGTACTCTCATCTGCGCGGTATAGCGCGTATTCGTTTTCTGTCCACTTCTTTTTTTCCCTGTTTCTTTTTCTTGGAACAAAATCGCACGATCAAAATACACAATCGCTTCGAAGCGATCGCTTTCGGGCCGTGAAGTGACAACACCGCCGTGAACCCGCGT